ACATCAGTGTCCTCATTACCCCCCCTTCACATCATAGCCCCTCTTTACATCAGTGCCTGTAGCCCCCCTTTACATCAAAGTCTGCCCCCCTTACATCTCAGCTCCCCCTGTACATCAAGACCCCCCACCCCCTTTACATCACAGTCCCCCTTTACATCAGTGTCTTCATTACCCCCCTTCACATCATAGCCCCTCTTTACATCAGTGCCCGTAGTCGCCCTTTATATCAAAATCCACACCCCCCCCCCCCACCTCCTTACATCATCACAACTCCCCCTTTTTACATCAATGTCTTCAATCCTCTATTCATATTACAGTCCCCCCCCCCCCTTACATCACAGCTCCCCATTTACATCAATGTCTTGAATCCTCCCTTCATATCACAGCCCTCACCCTCTTTACCTCAGTGTCAGTACTCCCTTCACATCACAGTCCCCCCCTTTACATCAATGTCCTCAATATTCCATTTATATCTCAGCCCCCCATCACATCACAGTCCCCCCTTTACATCATACCCCCCCCCCCTTTACATCAGTGCTCTCAGTCCCCTTTAATATCACAGCCCCCCCCCCCTTTCACAGTCCTGCCTTACACAGCAGAGCAGAGGGTGGGAGCTTCCCAACTCTTCATGGTAATGAGCAAGTGATTGGTTGCTAGGACTGCCCCACATCCCACAACCAATCATATGGGGGTTTTTTAACTTCAAAAATTGGGCAGCTCCCACCCTCCATACAGACCTGCCATACCTCCCGCCCTCTACCCTGCTGTGAGGACAACACCGGCGGAGGGGGGGGGGGGGGGACACCCAGGCTGCAGTGGTCTGGATAGAACTGTCACTTGGTATCAAGCCACAGTCCACCCGCCATAGGCAGTTGAGGCCCAGTGTGTATCTAGGACAGGGGCGGACTGACCATTCGAGCACTCGGGCACTGCCCGAGGGCCCGGGGTCAGTAGGGGGCCCCATGAAATGCCCCTGTTACCTTTTTTTATAGGCTTTTTTTGGATTTGCTTTGAGTTGAGGGCAAGGACACAGGGGCCCCATGATCCCGTATTGCCCGGGGGCCCCATGAGTTGTCAGTCCACCCCTGATCTAGAACCTAATAATAAATGATGAATGAATGAAATATAATCACCGATAGGTTCAATGGGCCCCCAGAGTTCTTTCCCTGCCCCCTCACCCTCTCGTTCTTCCTCCCTGTAGGCCTGCCTGAGAGCCATCGATGTTCAGATCCTGCAGCAGCTGCTAGCGGTGAATGAAGGGATCGAGTCGGTGAAGTGGATCCTGGAGGAGAGGGGGAATCTGACCAGCCGCTGCAGCAGCCTGACCAGCAGCCAGTACAGTCTGGCCGGGAGCCGGGAGACCTCTCGCCGCGGCAGCTGGAACAGCCTCCAGGACCCCAACGACAAGCTGGACAGCATCTCCATCGGGAGCTACCTGGACACACTGGCCGATGACCTGGATGAATACAGCCTGAGCACCAGCGAGCCGGTCGTGTCCTCCACCCCATACCGCCATGGGCTGCCATTGGCCACCAACGAGCAGGATGGCGACCAACCCAGAGACTTGATCCCGAAGGTGGACTATGCGGCGTGCCAGGGCAGCACAGAGAAGGGCAAGGTGCCCCGGCCGCACGTCCTCTCCCAGAGTTCCCAGTCCGGACAAACGCCAAATGGGTCAGCGAAGCGCACTCCGGAGCCGGACGGGGACGCCAGACCCGCCGAGGACAAGGAAAAAGTCAGAGCGGGCCAGAACGGCCGGGTGGACATCGACAAATACAAACTGTCCAATAAGATCCAGCTGGAGTACGACGCGCACTGGCGCTGGGTGCAGTCTCAGGACGATGTGACGTTCTTGTAGTCATGTGACCCCGCCCGGTTCCTGATCGCAGGACGGAACGTTCTGGATTTTCCTCGGAAGCCGATTACTTGAATCGCTCGTCTGCGCGCGAGGTCGGAGCAGAACTTACCACGGCGCGTTCAGGCCTCGCGGGATCTGTAAAGACGGGGAACTGCGCCAACATGTATAGACGATTCCCTGTCCTGTGATTGGTCACTAATCACTTCTTTGTATCATTTTTCTGAGATTACTTTAATATATTACAGAGAACAATGAATATAATTTATAGGTCAAGGTGACAAATACACCATCCCAGTGTTCTGACCCCGCCCATGAGAATAAAAGAGCCAATAGAAACTCAGCTGCTGCAATAAATATCGAAGAACAAATGAAAGCCCCGATATTAATGCCGGATTCTACCACTCAGGTTTAGATCAGGGGACTCCAAACTTTCCAATCAAAGGTGGCCAATGTGAGCAGAAAATGCCTTGGTGTCAATAGGAGTAAACAATGCCCCATCATTGGTGTCAGTGCGAGGAATAGTGCTCCATCATTGATGTCAGTGCGAGGAATAGTGCTCCATCATTGATGTCAGTGGGAGGAATAGTGCCCCATCATTGGTATCAGTGGGGGGGAATAGTGCCCCATCATTGGTATCAGTGGGGGGAATAGTGCCCCATCATTGGTGTCAGTGGGAGGAATAGTGCCCATCAGTGGTGTCAGTGGGAGGAATAGTGCCCCATCATTGGTGTCAGTGGGAGGAATAGTGCACCATCATTGGTGTCAGTGGGAGGAATAGTGCACCATCATTGGTGTCAGTGGGAGGAATAGTGCCCCATCATTGGTGTCAGTGGGAGGAATAGTGCCCCATCATTGGTGTCAGTGGGAGGAATAGTGCCCCATCAGTGGTGTCAGTGGGAGGAATAGTGCCCCATCATTGGTGTCAGTGGGAGGAATAGTGCCCCATCATTGGTGTCAGTGGGAGGAATAGAGCCCCATCATTGGTGTCAGTGGAAGGAATAGTGCCCAATCATTGGTGTCAGTGGAAGGAATAGTGCCCCATCATTGGTGTCAGTGGAAGGAGTAGTGCCCCATCATTGGTGTCAGTGGGAGGAGTAGTGCCCCATCATTGGTGTCAATGGCAGGAGTAGTACCCCATCATTGGTGTCAGTGGAAGGAATAGTGCCCCATCATTGGTGTCACTGGGAGGAATAGTGCCCCATCATTGGTATCAGTGGGAGGAATAGTGCCCCATCATTGGTGTCAGTGGGAGGAATAGTGCCCCATCATCGGTGTCAGTGAGAGGAATAGTGCCCTATCATTGGTGTCAGTGGGAGGAATAGTACCCCATCATTGGTATCAGTGGGAGGAATAGTACCCCATCATTGGTGTCAGTGGGAGGAATAGTGTCCCATCATTGGTGTCAGTGGGAGGAATAGTGCCCCATCATTGGTGTCAGTGGGAGGAATAGTGCCCCATCATTGGTGTCAGTGGGAGGAATAGTGCCCCATCATTGGTGTCAGTGGAGGAATAGTGCCCCATCATTGGTATCAGTGGGAGGAATAGTACCCCATCATTGGTGTCAGTGGAAGGAATAGTACCCCATCATTGGTGTCAATGGCAGGAATAGTGCCCCAGTGTCTGTAGGAGGGACAGTGCCCCAAGGGCCAGATAAAGGGCCACACTCGGCCCCCGGGCCGTGGTTTGGACACCACTGTTTTAGGTAAAGGGAAGAATGAAATATAAAATAGGGGGTGAGGTTGTCACTGAGACAGACAGCAATAATAACAAAGTCCGAAGTCCCTCCGTCCCCATCCCCCCTCCACTAAGAATCTCTCTTTTTTTTTTGTGCCCATTGGAGAGATTTCTAATCATTTCCTGTCCTACCAGGAAGTGAGGTGAGATGTACCCGGGGACACCATCAGAAACCTGACAGAGGCTCCACCCATTATACAAAGGGGGTGTTCATGCAAATTCGTTCTGTGCAAAGGGAGCAAAATCGATTGTTCTCAGGCTATATTCTCTGCAGATCGAATGTGTGAATGTGGAAAATACCACACTATAGCCACTAGGTGGAACTAAGGAGCATCCTTACTTTGTGTGATATCCAGCACCATCTAGTGGCCATAACATGGTAGTTTCCCCATTCACACATTCGACCTGCAGAGAATATAGCCTGAGAACATTCGATGTGGCCCCATTGGCGCAGCAGAATATCACGTGCCGTTTCAAAGGACGTCAATGTAAACGTGCAGACAAAATTCTCAGTGTTATAATGATGGCTGGGTCTGCCATCCTTCTCCTCTCAGGAATGTATGGAGGGATTGGAGGGGATAGGAAGTCGTATTTCCTCCTGGAAGATGTCGGTGGATTTTATTTCTGCTCTACAATCCAATAAAAATAAAATGCAGCAAAAAATGTGAAATAATAATCATTGTAATATTAATTACAGACAGGAGTGCAATTCCTTGACCCGCCTTTGAGTGGCGCTGTCCTGTGGTTCAGTGGGCGGAGATGTGTTTCCAGCTGTCGGCTTTTCTAAATAAAGCATCTGATTGGATCCTGAATCTGATGAACTGCCCTTCTGGGTGGAGTCACGACCCCTGGGACCTCCGCCATGGTGTATGGGGCGGACGCACGGTTCTTGGTGCGCCATGTGTGAAAAGACAGTAAAACGTTATTGGCTGTCCCAATTTCCATCTTACAGCAGCTCCAGTGTTATCTGACAACAGTCTGGCTATGAGTGTTGTCACAGCTCCGCCCCCTCTATAGTCCGGCCCAGAAATGTAAATTGAGTTAGAGTGGACCCTCCCACATGCTGCTGTATTCTATTCTGGAACTCTTCCACCATGTGCCTTGGGTTCCTCAGAACCCGGACTGCAGTGTCCCCGCCTCCTCCTCATCCTGTGCAGGGGACGTCCTCTTCTCTGCCCCGCCCTCACAGCAGATATTCTGGCTTTGCATGATTGGGTTTCCTTGGTGTTTCTCCGCCGCTGCAGCCTCTAATCTGTGACAGTATTGAGTGTCCCTACCAGGGGTGGACTGACAACTCATGGGGCCCCCGGGCAATAGGGGATCATGGGGCCCCTGTGTCCTTGCCCACACTCAAATCGCACCCAAAAAAGCCTATGGAAGGTACCAGGGGAATCTCAAGGGGCCCCCTACTGACCCTGGACCCTCGGGCAGTGCCCGAGTGCCCGAATGGTCAGTCCACCCCTGGTATTGAGTGTCCCTACCAGGGGAGGACTGACAACTCATGGGGCCCCCGGGCAATAGGGGATCATGGGGCCCCTGTGTCCTTGCCCACACTTAAACCACACCCAAAAAAGCCTATGAAAGGTACTAGGGGCATCTCATGGGGCCCCCTACTGACCCTGGGCCCTCGGGCAGTGCCCGAGTTCTCGAATGGTCAGTCCACCCCTGGTCCCTACACAGTCCTGTAATAGTCCTCTCTGGTCATCTGCTGTCACCTTCTTCCGAGGGAAATGTTAGAACTGTTGGAGCCGCCATTGCCGACCCTGCGGTGTCATCCTAATCCTACCTCAAAGTGGTTGTAAGCCCTTCCATATACATAGTGAAGTGACTGGCCTCAGGTTATACACAGAGAGGAAACAAATCCACCTACGTGAGTGGTACCTGTTTATCTGCAGTCTTCTCTCCTCTACATCCATTCTGAATTTATAAAGCTTGTCTGAGAGTTCAGAAAAAACGAGGCTCAATGAGGGGAGTCCTGAGAGCTGATTGGAGGGATGAGAGACACCCCCTCCTCCACACAGCACCCAGGAACATAGCCGAGGATGTCAATGCTGCTGGAGGTCCCTCCCTGTCACCATTTTTCTCTTGGTGTCAGGAAACCGTGACTGAAGGAAGGAGGCAGCAGACAGAATTGAGACAAGTACAACTTTTGGGTCAATAACGCAACAATCATCGTCATCTGCTGTCACCTTCCTTCCGAGGGAAATGTTAGGACTGTTGGAGCCGCCATTGCCGACCCTGCGGTGTCATCCTAAGCCTACCTCAAAGTGGTTGTAAGCCCTTCCATATACATAGTGAGGTGACTGGCCTCAGGTTATACAGAAAGGAAACAAATTCACCTACGTGAGTTGTACCTGTTTATCTGCAGTATTATCTCCTCTACAGGGGCAGACTGACAACTCATGGGGCCCCCGGGCAATAGGGGATCATGGGGCCCCTGTGTCCTTGCCCAAACTCAAAAAAGCCTATGAAAAAGGTACCAGGGGCATCTCATGGGGTCCCCTACTGACCCCGGGCCCTCGTGCAGTGCCCGAGTTTCCAAATGGTCAGTCCGCCCCTGCTCCTCTACATTCATTCTGAATTTATAAAGCTTGTCTGAGAGTTCAGAAAAAAGGAGGCTCAATGAGGGAAGTTCTGAGAGCTGATTGGAGGGAAGAGAGAGACATGATGGCTTCCTTAGATACCATACATGGAGCACCTGCCGCCCCAAGGAACTTCGCTGCCCTTTGGCTGAATCCTGCGTGGCCAATCCAGAAATTTAGGTCTGATGGGACCAGGGGCGGACTGACAACTCATGGGGCTCCCGGGCAAAAAGTGATCATGGGACCCCAGTGTCCTTGCCCAAACTCAAAAAAGCCTATGAAAAAGGTACCAGGGGCATCTCATGGGTTCCCCTACTGGCCCTGGGCCCTCGGGCAGCGCCCGAGTTTCCAAATGGTCAGTCCGCCCCTGCTCCTCTACATTCATTCTGAATTTATAAAGCTTGTCTGAGAGTTCAGAAAAAAGGAGGCTCAATGAAGGAGGTTCTGAGAGCTGACTGGAGGGAAGAGAGACATGGTGGCTTCCTTAGATACCATACATGGAGCACCTGCCGCCCCAAGGAACTTCGCTGCCCTTTGGCCGAATCCTGCATGGCCAATCCAGAAATTCAGGTCTGATGGGACCAGGGGCGGACTGACAACTCATGGGGCCCCCTGGCAAAAGGGGATCATGGGGCCCCTGTGTCCTTGAACAAACTCAAAAAAGCCTATGAAAAAGGTACCAGGGGCATCTCATGGGTCCCCCTACTGACCCCGGGCCCTCGGGCAGTGCCCGAGTTTCCAAATGGTCAGTCCGCCCCTGGATGGGACTCCCTTTACTAAACGGGGGAGAGATTCCAGTTCTGCTCACTAAAGAGAACCTGTCTCTGCGTATCCCCTGGACGTCCCAGAGGGTGATTCCAGGAGGAGGAAGGGAGGGGTCTCGTAGTTCTGACTGAATCTTCTTTTCATCGGATTTCTGTGTAAATGAGAAGAATAGAAAACAGTTTGCTCGCGGGATGATTACGTGGCCGGAGGACAATGGCGTTCTGTGTGCGGTTAATTGGGTGGACGGGAGATCAATGGAGCCTTTGACAATAACGAGGAGGGGAGAACATTGGATCCACAATACGGCAGCAGCCAAGCCCGTCATTATTAGTGCGGAGACTCCGCTCACTGCGAGTACGGGAGGGGGTGCATGGTCTGCAGAAGGACCACGATGGCCCACGTGTGAACTCCGTGACCGCAGACGGTGACGCACTTCTGATTGTATAAATGAATAAATGATCCCCCCCCCCCCCCCCCCCAATTACTGGATGAGATGAGGATTTCACAAAAAGAAGAAAACAGTAAAAATTCCAATTCCCCTCCGCTGTTCCTTCTGCATCGGATTGTACACAGTGCAGTTCGGGGGCTGATCGCCCCGATTTGTTGCACGGGGGGTAGGGGGGGAGGCAAATGAGATTTCTATATGCTGGAGGTGACACCCGACTGCCAAACGCTGCTCCATCCATCAGTCTGTGGGAGAAGTAACTTGGGTTTTTGTCAATCCCCCCAAACATGTCATTGTACCCCATAGGTGTACACAGGGGGTACACCCTAATCCCCCCATGAGGACGCAGATTCCCCATCCTGATGTTATGACACCCTCCACTGCTCTACTGACACCATCCACTGTCTATTGACACCATCCACTGTGTTACTGACACCATACACTGTGTTACTGACACCATACACTGTCTACTGACTTCATCCACTGTGTTACTGACACCATCCACTGCCTACTGACACCATCCACTGCTGTACAGACACCATACACTGCCTATTGACTTAATCCACTGCTCTACTTACATATTCCACTGTTCTACTGACACCATTCACTGCTCTACAGACACCATCCACTGCCTACTGACACCATCCACTGCTCTACTGACACCATCCACTGCCCTATTGACACTATCCGCTGCCCTACTGACACCATCCACTGCTCTACAGACACCATCTACTGCCCTACTGCCACCATCCACTGCTCTACAGATACCATCTACTGTCCTACTGACACCATCCACTGCCCTACTGACACCATTCACTGCTCTACTGACACCATCCACTGCTCTACAGACACATCCACTGTCTACTGACACCATCCACTGCCCTACTGCCACATCCACTGCTCTACAGATACCATCTACTGCCCTACTGCCACCATCCACTGCTCTACAGATACCATCTACTGTCCTACTGACACCATCCACTGCCCTACTGACACCATTCACTGCTCTACTGACACCATCCACTGCTCTACAGACACCATCCACTGTCTACTGACACCATCCACTGCCCTACTGATTCCATCCACTGCTCTACAGACATCATCCTCTGCCCTACTGACACCATCCACTGCTCTACTGACACCATTCACTGCTCTACAGACACCATCCACTGTCTACTGACACCATCCACTGCTCTACAGACATCATCCTCTGCCCTACTGACACCATCCACTGTCTACTGACACCATCCACTGCTCTACTGACACCATCCACTGCTCTATAGACACCATCCACTGTCTACTGACACCATACACTGCCCTACTGACACCATCCACTGCTCTACAGACATCATCCTCTGCCCTACTGACACCATCCACTGTCTACTGACACCATCCACTGCTCTACTGACACCATCCACTGCTCTATAGACACCATCCACTGTCTACTGACACCATACACTGCCCTACTGACACCATCCACTGCTCTACAGACATCATCCTCTGCCCTACTGACACCACTGCTCTACTGACACCATCCATTGCTCTACAGACACCATCCACTGTCTACTGACACCATCCACTGCCCTACAGACATCATCCACTGCTCTACAGACATCATCCTCTGCCCTACTGACACCATCCACTGCTCTACTGACACCATCCACTGCTCTACAGATACCATTCACTGTCCTACTGACACCATCCACTGCTCTACTGACTTCATCCACTGTCCTACAGACACCATCCACTGCTCTACTGACACCATCCTCTGTCCTACTGACACCATCCTCTGTCCTACTGACACCATCCACTGCTCTACAGACACCATCCACTGTCTACTGACTTCATCCACTGTCCTACTGACACCATCCACTGTCCTACTGACACCATCCACTGCTCTACAGACACCATCCACTGCCTATTGACTTCATCCACTGCTCTACAGACACCATCCACTGCCCTACTGATACCATCCACTGTCCTACTGACACCATCCACTGCCCTACTGACTTCATCCACTGCCCTACTGACACCATCCACTGCTCTTCAGACACCATCCACTGCTCTACAGATACCTTCCATTGTCCTACTGACACCATCCACTGTCCTACTGACACCATCCACTGCCCTACTGACACCATTCACTGCTCTACAGACACCAACCACTGCCTATTGACTTCATCCACTGCTCTACTGATACCACCCACTGCTCTACAGACACCATCCACTGCCCTACTGACACCATCCACTGCTCTACAGACACCATCCACTGTCCTACTGACACATTCCACTGCTCTACAGACACCATCCACTGTCCTACTGACACATTCCACTGCTCTACAGACACCATCCACTGTCCTACTGACACCATCCACTGTTCTACTGACAGCATCTACTGCTCTACTGACACCATCCACTGCTCTGCTGACACCATCTACTGCTCAACTGACACCATACACTGCTCTGATACCATCCACAGCCCTAATGACACGTCCACTGTCCTACTGACACCATCCACTACTCTTCTGACACCATCCACTGCCCTACTGACACGGTCCACTGCTCTACTAACACCATCCACTGCCCTACTGACACGTCCACTGCTGTACTGACACCATCCACTGCTCTACTGACATCATCCACTGCTCTACTGACATCATCCACTGCCTACTGACATCATCCACTGCCTACTGACACCATCCACTGCCCTTATGACACATGCACTGACCTGCTTATATCATCCATGTTTTATACATTTTGTTTCCATTTATCAGTGTATATATACAGGAGTGTATTTAGACTTTGTGCTGCCCTAGGCAACAATCTGCATGGTGTCACTGCCAGGGCTCCTCCACTGGGTGGCAGTATGACACTCATGACACCTCCTGGGAGGAAGCATGGAGCCCCAGTAGGGTGACTACCCTGGATCTGTCACCTCTTCTCCTTTTATACAATTGCACATGAGAGGTTATTTTATTTCTGAGATTTCTTTGCCATAAACTATTTTCTGTACTAAAATCTGCCGTAAAGTTTGGGGAACAAACTCTCCCCGATCTCACCTGACACCTGAGGACGAGGGGGAGGATTTGAACTTGTGGCTGGCAGACACTGTGTATTCCAGGATGTACGATGATGGATCACACGGGTCCATCTGTTTCAGTGGTTCTGGTCATTGACAATCAGACATCTTGGATTGGGAAGTTCTGGTTGGCAGTCACCCACACAGAGGGATTTGGACATTTTTTCAGTTTGATAGAAATGGGGGGCTTTCCATGGTTCAGTGTGTGATGGAAATAGAGGCCTTTCCATGGCTTGGTGTGTGATAGAAATGGAGGCCTTTCCATGGCTCAGTGTGTGATAAACCTGGAGGCCTTTCCATGGCTCGATGCGTGATAGAAATGGAGGCCTTTCCATGGCTCAGTGTGTGATGGAAATAGAGGCCTTTCCATGGCTTGGTGTGTGATAAAACTGGAGGCCTTTCCATGGCTCAGTGTGTGATAAAACTGGAGGCCTTTCCATGGCTTGATGCATGATAGAAATGGAGGCGTTTCCATGGCTCAGTGTAAGCTAGAATTTAAGGCCTTTCCATGGCCCAGTATGTCATAGAAATGGAGGCCTTTCCATGGCTCAATGTGTAGTGGAAATGGAGGCCTTTCCAAGGCTCAGTGTGTGATAAAACTGGAGGCCATTCCATGGCCCAGTGTGTGATAGAAATGGAGGCCTTTCCATGGCTCAGTGTGGGATAGAATTTGAGGCCTTTTCATGGCCCAGTATGTC